TGAAAGCTGGTAAGGAGTCGTCTCTCCCCTCCTTCTCTTGATGTATACCCACTTCAATTTTTAATACATATAATATGTTTGATATATACTTCAGGTCTTTGGCGTATGGTCTACTTGTACTCATATTGCTCAACCTTTACTTCATACCCTTTAGGCCTTCTACATCATTCCTATACACCAAAATATAGCTCACAATAACCATATAAAAATAGAATGGAAAGAAGAGAGGATCGAGCTTGGTTGGTTCAGATTAAAAATGAACAACTGCTTTTCCAAACGTGGAATATTCTTAGCCAGTGTGTGTAAAATAGAAAGAAAATTAGGGATAACGAAGAGAGTATAATATGGGATAAGTGACAAGCTTTTAGATAATAAGCGAAGGTACAATAACTATTACAAAATTTTATAGAGCACTTATTGAGGAGTTGCCCATCCTCTCGGTTAAACGTGGGGAACCGAAACAATGATGTGTCTATATTAGCAATCATTATCTATGACCCCCATTCTCTCTACCTTCCCAGGCTGTCCACTTGCGCCACCTATTTCGTTCCGGAAATTATAAAATTTTCGACAAAGTTCGTTTATAATCCGTATTGTTTCATGAATTTAGATCATTTTTATCTAATAATACACGTAAGTGTGATGGCACAACTGTGAAAAGGATGACAAAAACAAATTCTGTGTTGACGAAACTAGTCATTTCATGGAGAGTTGAAATTAACGATTTATCATCCTTTTACTCTCTTTTAACAACGTAACGAAAACGTGCGTTTGGAGGGGGCTAATATTGTTGGTGAGCGTGAGCTTGATGGAAGCTTAGAGGGTTTAGCCATGGAAGCACGATGGGGCCTAGACGACACTTGGATCACGTATGAGACGGTTGCTTCACTTCTTTGCTTGTTATAAACAAACAATGTGTAAATTCAGTTTTGCCCCTTTTATATAATAAAAGCTTCTTTATTTTTGGATTTTGGTCTCTGTTCAGGAAAGGGGAAAAAAATGGGCTTTGTCTGGAAACGGACTTACCATTTCTCTAGGCGGAGAACAGGCCCGACACGGCGGATGAAGGAATTGTGCCTTGACGTGCCAGTCACTTTGCGCCATGTGTCACTCTTTAAATGGTTCATTTTTTCTTATTATGTCATCATAGATCTTAAAAATTTAAAATTAACTATAGGACTAAACTATTTTTAAAAATATTTAAAAATATTAAATTTAAACAATCAACAATCGTAATATTTTGTTAAAATAACTATTAGTAATATTTTTATAATTTTAATACAATAAGTGTATTTTTAATAAAAATTACTGTTTAAAAATTAATTTTAAAGACTGAAGTTAATAAAATTTAATTTTTAATAAAAATAATATTTAATAGCTTTTGTTAAGTTAACAAGAAAATCAATAAAAGAATTGTAAGAAATTTAAACTATTCATTCAAATAATATGAACTTCAATAAGGGCAAAAGGCAATAAAAATATTCAATTTTTTTTTACGAAATATCTTTGAAATGTTCACTAAAAACATTTAAGATGCTATTAGTTTAAATTATTTCAAAATAAGCATTAAAACTTTTTAACTTAAAATGTTATACATTTTTAAATGTGTATATTTATATTTTATTTTGATATTTTAACTTGTGCCTTGACATATTAGTTAGCATTACTTTTAATAATTTCATTTAAAAAAGTGAACATGATGTAAAAAATGAGAGGAGAAATTATAAAAAGCTATTAAATTCATTTTTCTACGTAAAAATATGTTTAATTAAAAACTATTATCTCATAATATTTATTTTTAGTTGCTTGATATTAAAAAAATTAAGTATAATATTATATATGTAAAAGTGTATCGTGACTCTAATAATAACGTGTATGTTACTATTTAAAATAAAAGAACTTGAAAATAAAAAACTAAACAGAAAGTTGTCTGAAATAGGATAACGGAGTAGGGGCCCAGAAACAGAACGGGCTTGTTTAAGACATTGTGAGTCGAATGATAATGGAGTGCCCCACGCCGGACCATGAGCTTCCACGTATTGAGCCGGGAGCAGTGGCGGTGGGGCCCATCCTCCACCGCGGAAACAGAACACTTTTAGAAGACAGAGTCTTTGGAGAAGTGTCTCATTCGTATTCCTCAGGGTCGGTTGATGGGCCCGGATCTTTAAGCTTTTTGAGCAGATTTAATTATTCAATTTCAATTTAAAAACACATAAAATATATTAATTCTTTAGTGTCGAATATTGCAGACCAACCAACCAGAGCCCGCGTGCGGTTGCTCCAACTGAAAATTAATTATTATTTCTCTAAAAACCTTAAAATAATAGAGCTGTTGTCTTGTCTGTTACTAATTTATTTGCACTTTTTCAAGACACAAGAGCACCTGCAGATGCAATGGACTGTGCTGCTTTCTTCAATCGCCCCCTTTTTCTATGTAACAGCAGAAGCTCATGTATCGTCCCCGTTACAGAGGATTAAGGGATGCAGAACAGTTAACTTGTCATCACCGACCAAATACATTATGTAACTGCGAACTTCAAGTCACCAATCCATTATCTGCATTAAATTTGATCTAATTTTTATTTATTTATACAATAAGTTTATTATAATGAATTATTTAAATTATTATAAATACATTATTATTATTATTATTATTATTATTATTATTATTATTATTATTATTATTATTATACTTGTTGTTGTTATGTTAAATTTAAACTTTTATCATAATATCTTAAAATTATATGATTATTGAATTATTCAACAATTAGTCTTGTTAATTAATTTGCAGATCGCGTTAAGTCTGTCAACTTATTTCAAGATTTATCTGTTCACTATTTATAAGTTTATTTATAAAAACAAGTCTCTACTATTAACATTTAGGCTAAGTCAAAATTTTATAAAGAAGGGTAATTTTTTAAAATAAGCTCTAATCAGAGATTCTTTTTACCTGTAATAATTCTATGAACAATTAATTATATTTAAAATTTTAAATATCAAATAATGTAGTACTATTTAGACTCATATTTTACAATGACTGTCCGCAATTATAATGTACAAGAATTAACAAAATAATCTGTTAGTTACTCTCATCTCTTATTCCGTTAATTGGATATACTAAAACCTGTAATAAAATTATAAAAAAGAATACTAATGCATTCTTATAATTTATTGATATAATTAATTAATTAATATAAAATGTAAATAGTTGTATACTGATTGTATACTAAAATTAAGCTCTAATTATTTTTTATAAAATGATTATTTTAATAATAGTTAATTACATTAAATATTGATTACACCGCAATAAAAATTACTATTTCTTAATGATTTTATATTAGATTAATTAAATTTTATTAGTATAATTGTTTAGTTTTTGATAAACAATAGACTATTAAGTATAAATTCGTTAATTTTTTTATAATAATATAATATATGATATTAATAAATAGTTTTAATATATCAAATATTAGTATAATGTATTATTGATTGATATAGACTTTAGAGGTCTATATTAATAATGTAATTTTTATTAATGCTTTATTTTTTTATTTTTTTTTGTAGTATAACTTTAAACAAACTTTACCTATAATGTCAAATAATTTAAATCTTGAAGTCTTTATTTAGGGAGAACAATAAGTACCACTCTCCGATCCATAGTCCAAGAGTTATAACTTTGCATGTTTACGATGGTATATAATCCTACCTATAGACATATGGTGGGAACATAGTTAACCTCGATCTGTTCATTAGAAAATAAAACTTCAATCAAGAATCGAGCATGTTAGATTAAGTGACGGTTTTATCTACAAATGGGATATAAATGATCACAATATTTGTGTTATGCAATAGTAGTTAATACATATTATCACAAAGAGCAAAATATACGTTGATTAATGAACTTGGTATACACACATTCAAGAGTTACTTGAAAAAAATCTAAAAAATAATAATTTTTTAAATATAAAATGTTTCAATATTTCAGATAAATTATCTTCAATGTGGACGAGTGTAATAGAAGTTTTGTGTTTAATCGATGAACCTTCACTTTTTATCACTTGATTTTTATTTCCAATAATAAATTATTTAATTACAGAATTACATTCTTTAGGAATAAAGCATTGTGATTCATCTAGAAGAGCTGAATCATATATTCGCGTTATGATTATAACAACTACTATAAATAAATGAATCAAATATGATCGTGTGCACCTCCCGGTGCGAACTAATGTAGGACAATACCCTTTTTTTTGTGAACGCGGAACGATATCTTTTGAGTGTGGTTATATATCTGGAAAATGAATTAAATAAAAAGTAAATATAATTCATATTTTACTTATGTAAGCAAGGATATCAATAAAAAAAAGTTGTAAAAAGATATTGTTTAAAGAGTAAATGTTATACAAATAAAATATGATACAATTGCATCTTTTTATTTGTCAGCGGCTAATAATTAATTTCCGTTATTCTTTTGATTTAGGATATTTTTATGTATTTAAGAAGATATAATAATAAAATTTGATGACTATGAAAAATGTCTATTCATGCTCAGCGTTTGATGACTTGATCTATGGCCCATCTCCCCTTTTTCTCAAAAACACATACACAATTTCTTTTTGCCCGGCCACCTTAAACGTTAACCTCAAATCATTCTTTTGTCGTCACCATCAGTTGCTGGTGGGTGGAGTTGGATGTGTACATCTCTCTCTCTCTCTCTCCGTTTTAGCGCCACTTTTTTATGAACTCAAGGCTTTTCCAGCAATCTAGCTCCAACTCAATAGATAAGGAGAGAGAAACTTTTGAGAGTGATGGTTTATTTTGGACTTCTCACGTTTCTTCTTCTTCTCTTCTTCTTATGCCTTTGCTTCCTATTTAACCCTACCTCGTCTCCTTTTTCCCATTCCTGAAAACCTTTCTCTTTCCTTTTCCTTCTCTTTTTCAGTGATCCTCGGGATCTCATCTCTCTCTTTTTATAGACAACAACTCCTAGTAGACAGACAATTCCTCAGTGCAAAACAGTTTGGATTCACTTCAATTCCCGAGGATCACTATTAATTGCCTCTTTCTGCTTTTGCTTCTTTTCTTGTCCCCTCTCGCGTGTTTCCTTCCCTTTCTTTTTGTGCTGCTTCTTTTTCCTTTTTGCTCATTTCGGTTGGATTTTACCATATTCTTATAAAGGTTGTTGATCAAAGGCACCCCACAATCTAGCATATTGAATTCGTGCTGCAAAGAGGTTGGTTTCATCAGATCTACACACCGATATTCTGCTTATTCGAGTTCTTACCTTCTAAGAACATCCAGCAATATATCAAGGTTGTTCTTTCGCCGTCCGCTCTTAAGATTCTTCTTAATCTGATCTTTTTAATTAAGTTTCCTTCTTCCAGGTTTATCTACTTTAGCATATTATTATGTGGGTGTGTATAAATTATTAAGGCATGAAAATATATGATGATTTTTTATATACTTCAAGTCAGTAAGAAAAATCCAAAAAATAAAAATAAAAATAAAAAGACAGAAACCATAGTCAAATGCTAAATGTCGCTTGCATTAAATCTTTGACTTGACTCTGATCTTGTGTGTTTCGGTTGGAGTTTATATCCCATAGACACCTACCGGTAAATCATGCTTTCACTTTTCCCTTTTTTCTTTCTTTTGGTTTTACTCCCCAAAATATTGATCTCTTTGCATATTTGACCTGAAATACTGCAGACTATTGTTTTTTCTGTAATTGTGCTATGAAATAAAGCTATTATGAAAAATGGAGTCAGTTTAGTGCTCGACCCACTTCTTTGTAAATCAAAGGAAAGATGTTTGATGCAATATGTCATCCAACTTCATGCCTATGCATCATTATATTTTACAAAAGGGTGCCTTGATTGCCTTGCCTATTGTGTTACAACTCATTTTTTTTTACGGTAAAAGAGAGTTAATATGTTTCCCATATAAAGTTATTTGCATCCTATATGCCCCCGTATGGCCGTATGTTTCAACTTGTACTATTTTGCCATTTGATTTTTACTTTGTTACGTTTTTATCATACTTTTTGTTTTTATTCAATTATAAAAATTGATTTTGTTGCTTATAAACATGAAGTTTTTCTTCAGCAGTTCATATTTCTTTCTTGATTTCATTCTTTTTCTTATCCAGCAGGAAGTATCATAATTCGTCTTTAAACATAAGAACTCTAAGGTGATAAATATAGAAACTTCATAAATAAAAACTTGTAAGATTTCAAGGACAAATAATAAATTTAAAAATTATAAAACTTCACCTCTTATTTTTCTTACACTTTTTTCTTCTTTCTATCTTTTTGTTTATTATTATTTTTTATCTCACTTTCTACTCTTTCCCCGCCCCCCCCCCCCTCCCCCATCTCACATCTTTGCAGAGGTGTGAGAACTACAGATTTAATGAAATTCTCTGGGAGAATGGTGCGGCTGCTTTGTCTTTTTCTCCTGGTAAACGCAGAGTTTAATTGCTTCTGCATTTAAGATTGCAGAAGAATTTTCGATTCAATCTGTTAATGCAAAATTTCAACGTCCACGAGCAACCTTGTTTTTTGATATTTTCTTTAGATCTATTACAATTTTTTGTTGTATCTTCTTGAAATAGTTTTTAATAGTATTCTTAATATTTAATGAATTTTTTGAATGAAAATTCTTATTTAATATATTAAAAGTGAAAAAATATATAATATATTTTTAAATGATTAAGGAAACTTTTTAAAATATTAATTAAAATGTGACAATCTACAAGTATAATTATTCATTAAATAGACATCAAAACATGATCACACGTAAGAGTTCTCAAGTATTTATTTCTTGTTAGTTTTATTACAAATGTTGAAGAAATTTATAAAATATAATTAATGATTCATAAATATTTGAAAACTGATATTATAAGAATAAAAATTTAAAACTATGAGCTTCCACTTATATAATCCCACTTTATCCAGTATCGTATTAGATGTTTTATTCAATATTCTTACGCTTCTTTTCCTTTCTGAATTATCGTCCTGTTTTTTTATTGTGATGACCTATTAAACTTAGAATCTTCATGCAGCATCATTTTTAAATTTCCTTCTTTATAGTTTTTATCACCAAACACAACTTATATTATGTCTGGTTGATTAGAAGCTAAATAATGAGTTTGGATAATAAATTTTGTGTTCTGCCGATAATCGCTTTTGTTGCTGGATCATTTTGTCTTTTCTCCCACTAATATTTATGTAATCCATTAAAAAATAAAGCTTAAATATATTTCTACTTGTAATTGCAATTTTGCTTCCAAATATTATTTTTAGATTTAGGATATGCATATGTAACTTGCGACGCGCATTATTATCTCAATTCTAGAGTGACCGGGTAGCCACAATATATCATTGTATATAGGAGGAAATAAAGATGTCAAATTTCATGTTCTAATTAATACAAATTAAGAGAAGTGATAGTGATAATTTCTACTTCTGTTTTACCTCTCAAATGCAGGTTTAAGAGAGCAGATATGAATACATTTTCACATGTTCCTCCTGGCTTTCGTTTCCATCCCACTGATGAAGAACTTGTTGATTACTACCTTAGGAAAAAGGTAGCTTCTAAAAGAATTGATCTAGATGTAATAAAAGATGTCGATCTCTATAAAATTGAGCCGTGGGATCTTCAAGGTATTGGCCTTCTTCTATGCTTCCAATTAGAATTACATCATATATATATCATATTACGTACTGCTCACCCTTGTTATTTTCTGCTGATAGAATTATGCAAAATAGGAACAGATGAACAAAATGAATGGTATTTCTTTAGTCATAAAGACAAGAAGTACCCAACTGGCACTCGCACCAATAGAGCTACAAAGGCGGGATTCTGGAAAGCTACGGGAAGGGACAAAGCAATTTACTCTAGGCATTGCCTTATTGGCATGAGAAAGACTCTGGTGTTTTACAAAGGAAGAGCCCCAAATGGACAGAAATCTGATTGGATCATGCATGAGTACCGATTGGAAACTAATGAAAATGGAACTCCTCAGGTATTCATTTCATCTCTTTCTCTCTCTCTTTTGGGAAGAAATTCTCTCTACTGAACCAGTATAAATGTTGAAAATAAAACTAGTGACAATAAAGAGGGCAAATTTTATATGGGGAAATTAAATGATATTTTGCACAAAAAATATTATTTAAACTGAATATAAGAAACTTCGATGAACTAAAGGATTTATAGGCCTTTGTGCATGCACCATGCTATAATAATTTTATCAATACTTATTTTTACCACCCTAATAATTGATTTATGAGAGGCTTTACAACGAATGGAGCTCCAGCTTTGTTTCCTATATCTTGAGTACATAATATTCCAGAAGAGAAACTATTACATAAATTATCTTTTACTTATTTAAGAACACATTGGCAATTTTTATGAACTTCTCGTGTGATTACATTTTTACCTTCTGTTATTTTCCGCGGCTATGTGCGAGTTCAAAAATTAATCAGGTTAATTAGAGTAAAAACTAATTAATTCATTTTTGTAAATGCTTTCCAGGAAGAAGGTTGGGTTGTATGTAGAGTGTTCAAGAAACGAATGACAACAGTGAGGAAAATGGGAGAGTATGAGTCACCCTGTTGGTATGAGGACCAAGTCTCATTCATGCAAGAGCTTGAATCCCCGAGGCGAATTTCTCACCCTTATGCACCATACCACCAGCACTACCCCTGCAAGCAGGAGTTGGAATTGCAATACAATATACCTCATGACGCTTTCCTCCAACTTCCACAACTAGAAAGTCCCAAAGTTCCTCACTCTGCAGCCAGTTTGAGTTGTAACTCAGTTGTTCCTTTTGCCTACGGTAGCAATAATAATGGAAACGCTATGCAATCCTCCTCACTCACTCAAGAAGAACACATACAACAACATTGCCAGCAACAAAATCTACCATTTCTTTATGGTAGCAATGATCAAGCAGTGGATCAAGTTACAGATTGGCGAGTACTTGACAAATTCGTTGCTTCTCAGCTCAGTCACGATCAACATGTTTCCAAGGAAACCAGCTTTTCTGATGTGGTTGATCAAATTACTTTGCTTCCAAATGGATCCAAGAAACCAGAAATTGGCCAGGAATATGCTTCAACATCCACCTCCAGTTGCCAGATTGACCTGTGGAAGTGAAAGTTATTACTAGAAGATGCATAATAATTATATATAGGGAGTACAGTATAATGCTCTCAATCGAAAAAGACAAAAAAAAAATATTGGTTCGAGTTTCTGCATGTACATAATAAACCCTAAAGTATAAATATCCCTAGCATTTGAAGCTCTGGTGACACGTACTGTATCCACTAATACTCCGCCATTGTTAAGATGGAACGAATATGACTATAGTATATGTAAATTTATTACTTCGAGTTGATCATTTGTGTAGATCTGCTGGAATGAGCTCAGCAAAAGTTATTGTGTTTTTACCATAGCATTTTGATTTGCATCTATTACAAATTAGTTATGTTACATATACAAACATGTATTTAGTTAACTGTACTTTTTTTTTATCAGCACTTAATTGATTGTATTAATTGATTCTACCTACGAGGAAGGGTAATGTGGATTGTGAAGAACTGAAAATATCTAAGACTAAGCATATGCAGTTAATAAATAATATACGTACATTTTTCTTTCCTCACTGTTTACGTGTCATTATTTTGTATTTGCTTGTTTCAGATTGTCTATTGCATCGTGCAAGGGTAGAATTTCTATATTACAAATATAATAAATGTAAAAACCTTAATTTAATTGGACATAATCGACACTTAACTGAAAAGTATTATTACACTTGTTTTTAATTCAAATATTTCGTGTGTGTGTGTGTGTGTGTGTTAAAAATTAAGTGGTTATTTAAAATAGAGGAGGATCATAGATAAAAGAACATAAAACCTAAAAATATCGTAACATGTCTAGATATGAAGCACAAATCAAAAGGACTGCAAAATATAATGTAACTATACCATTTATGTAACCTAGTCCGAGTGTGCGCGGCAAAACTTGATGTGTCGTACTCAAAGCAATGCAACAGTAAAAATGTGCTTGTAAGGGTATAAGAAGCCTCGGGCAAAGACCCAATAAACCATGGATACATACCAGTAAGGTGTTAAGGACACTGCTCGCTTACCAAACTGCTTTGGCATACATCATATATAAGTTTGTTTCCACTCTGTAGGGTATAAGGCATATTTACCAAAATCTCGCAAGGATACTGAAATCATTGAATGTTGTTCTAAATTAATCTCATGCATACTTGCACGAGAGTACTCATATCGACAGCGGTACTTGTACGTTGTTTAGGCAAAATGTTACAAAAACTATGGATACGGGTACAAGAGAAAATATATAAGAAATAATAATCTAATTAAATTATAAAAAATATTTAAAAAGAATGTTTAAAGGAGTAATCGAGTAAATTCAGTGTTTTACCAGCTAAGCACTCAACTGATAAATGAATGTTGAGTATTTATTCGTATATATCTAACAAGTATATCGGTCCCAAATAAATGACCGGTATACGGTACAACAGCCATTTACCCATGCATCATAGATGCTGTTTCATATCAAACTAATTCCACAAATTTATTATTAAGAAACTCTTCACTCCATTCTCACAACGCATATATACCTGTTTATGAAGATGGCTTCTCCTGCTGAAAGATCCTTCACTCTATCTGCCACAGGAAGCTTCTTGATGTTTCAGCAGTTTGGGGCTAACTCAGAGGGCACGCTGTTTCACATGGCCTGAGCAGAAACGTTTGTTCGAAAGTGCCACTCACCGAAGCGTGTTCTCAAAAGTGGATATGGTTTATATATATACCTGTATCAAAGTAAATCTTAAGCACCTAATCATGCAAGGTGTTCAAAGGCAACAAGTAGTTCTTTATGTAGGTGTCGTCATTGGACATTGACGAGGGGTGAAATTCTTGTGTCGGAGTCATGAATCAAATTCCTTTCAAGCAATGGCACGACACAATCATTAGGCGTGCGCCCATCAACTTAATCATAATGCAGGTTTCAACTAGTCAGACTCATGAATTACTTGCACAAAAAGAGAGGAAGTATGAGAGAGATTATAACTAGCATGCTTGCCTAGAAAATTCTCAGGGACGAGAAAAGGCAAGTGGGAAAAAGTATTTATAAAAAAAAAAAGGTGATTTTTTCTGACATCCATTGACTTGAAGAAGTACTATGTTACATTGGTTTATTTGCTTTTTTGTCATGCGTCACTTGTCTGCTTCAACATAATAGAGAGGATAGAAGTAAATTGACTAGCGTTTGCCCTACAAAGCCAAAACAAGAAGGCCATGTGCATTGATGCGGCGTGAGACTATAATAATTGGGGTTTATTCAAAAGTGTTTCCTTACCGACCAAGGTAGTATATTAGTTACCATGTGAATGAAATAGAGCTCCATGTGAAGTTATGTGAACAGGCTCATTGTACACGAGCTTGTTTAGTTCCCTAAATGCCAAACCTCCACAATTTCCGGAGTCTCTGCTCTTTTTATATATTTCTTAATTATCCAAAAAGGAAAAAAAAGACTTTCTGTTCCGAGTTGGGTTAATGACAAAATTGTTAGATCGGTGCCGTCGTACGTATAACGTACGTAGGACATAGATACTCCTATATATGTTTCAACTGTCTTTTCTAGTTTTTCCTTCCTAGTGAATTTTTCGGAGAGTACTTTCTTATCAATGTACATGAAGCAGCAGAATACTGCAATCATATACAGTTTTTTTTTTTTCCTTTTTAATTGGTGAAATATCAACCTGTAGATCAGATGCAGTAACATATGCTGACTCGACAAGCAATTTTAACATTGGCTAAAATCCACTCTTTATAATAACTTGAACAATATATACATTTTTATCAAACTAATTTTTTAAATTAAATCAAGCCCAATTTTTGAAGAATAGACACGTCTAGACGGAATCGACCACATTATAAAGTTCTGATATTATCTAGTAAACAGACAGTGCACATACTGTAAATCTTTGTTTTCTTGGATCCTGCATTTATTATAAATTCCAAACACGATTATATATGTTGCCTGTATATCAGGCAAATTTATTTAAATAATATTATTTATAAAACAAATTCTCGAAATAGATTTATTTTAAAATATATTTCTTGTTTGGACTAATTTTTTGGCAGGTCAGTAGCTGTCTCGCACCTGCATGGCTGATAGTAATTTTTTAAATGCTCTATCATTTCAGAACGTCTGATACAGCTTTATAAGCTGACTCGTGGTGATGTATATGCTAAAGAAGAGTTATGTGAAGGAACATCTTTGATGATGACACGTGGCGCCTATTGGATGTGTATCGCCTGGTCAAGGACGATAGCATTATCGATGGTCAATAGGCGGCTAACTTATCGAGTGTCAGAGTGCGAGACATGTGGGGACTTGACACGTGGCAAGAACTGATGGTCATTTACTCCCTTGTCCAATTTTAAAGCGCATATATATACACATTTGAATTTTTGCAATTGCCATTCCTTGAAATCTTTGAGCTGGTGATAGGAAAAAACTGCACAAAAAGTTTCAATTCAGGTTAATAGATTTGTGCTTTTAATTTTTTTTTTTACGAATTTTATTTATATGTAGTTTATTTATTACCTGTATAGTAATTTTTATGTTAGTTATTTAAATGAGATTGAGTTTTGTTAATTAGTTGTTAAATAATTGCATTAATGTGATAGAAATGAGTTTAAATAAAAAAAATTACGACTGAATAATAATAATCTGTAAAAATAATTAAATTTTAATGCATACAACATTAAAATAATTTAATAATGCATATATAAATATGTTTTATTCAATTTATGTTGATAATTAACTTTAAACATAAATTTTATTGTGTTATTTTAGCCAAAAAAAATAATGATTGATATTTGTATTGTAAATAAATAGATATTGTAAATAAAAATGGTTTATTATAAATTTAATATGAAGTTAAAAAATTGTAGTTGTTAAAAATCATTGTTAAATACCTATAAAAAATTATTTAATATTTTTTTAAAATAAAATAATTTTATATAAAATAGGAGAATGTTGTATATATGAAAAAAAGTGTCAAATTTGTTGTATGCGTATTTAATTTGTTAAATTTTACTGATATAATTTGTTGTGTATGTATTGAATTTGTTAATGCAGGATGACTGATTTTGTGATAATAGTATATTGGAATGGTCGAATATTCTCGAATAATTAGGGTGTTACCTTTGAAGGAAATAATAAAATGATTAAAATTGAACGTGGAATAAGTTTTGAGACATTAAAAGAAAAGATTCATAAAAAATTACAATTGTCTACTAATCAAGTTATATTTAGATTGATTTCACGATTTTTAGTAGATCCAATTGGTAGACAATATACAAATATGGATATATGTGATAAAGAAGATATCGATTGTATGTTAAGTGTTTTTTTACAACAAAATCAGAGGAGTGCAATTGAAGTATAGGTAGATATTACATCTAGTCAAAGTTCTTGTATTCGGGCAGAAGATGTGAACTTAAATGTCACATTTTTACATGACAATATCTATGATGATGATGAATATGAATTATGATCAGGTATGAGAAAGTTTTTCATTTGATAAATATGGATACATAATAAGACTAAATATGGATAATGGTATGAGACAAACAAATATTAATATCTAGTATTATTTTATTTACATTATTTTGTTATATATGTATATACATGACTGATATTTTATTTTACAATATAATTACACTTTTGTTTTAAAATTTATAATGATACAACTGTATTATTCCTACGACAATTTATATATTAGAGTTATAGTTTATCAAAGTTACAATAGTTTAATATTTATGTATAGCAACATATTTATTAACTTACGTAAATTTATTTTAAACACTTTTTTATTAATTGTTCTCATTTAATATATCTAACTTAACCATATTATTACTTCAATATAATTTCTTTTTAATGTGATAACATAAATTTATTTCCTAACCATAGTTAATATTAATTTAAAAAGCTATAACATTTTATAAATTAGTTAAGCTATATTTTTTATTATTACATAGGTCAACTTGTTAATTTTTTCAATAATATATATAATTATAGGATTACTTAATAAATTTTTTTTAACAAAAGTTACTAATATAAATGTTATTTTACTCTATAACAACCAAATATTTTTTATATATTTAAAATGTAATATGTTTTTATTTTTAAATATTTCAATTAATAATTTTTATAAATCTTGAAATAAATTATTTAAATAATTATTTTTTATACGATAGTACATATTGATTATTTCAATTGAACTATATATATTTCATTTTAATTATCATTTAAATTGCCTCTTCATATCAAATTAAAAATAATTTCATTATGAGATTGATCTAGTTTATCATTAAAAATTTAATAATTTTTAATTTACTTATAACATCTTTTCTTGTACTAGTTACTATTTTACCTAAAAGTTTATTTATTTCTAATAAAAATTATTCTACATTTTAAAGTTTTTTACATTACAATTTTTTTCTTTTAATCACCCTCTTAATTAATTTAAACAATAATAAAATTTATTACAAATTTTAATAAATAATTCATGTTTTACTATGCATTTTTTAAAATAATTATGCATTTTACTATTTTATAAAAATTCTATACCATTAATATATTTTATTTATTAATTACAATAAATATTTCATCTATTTTTACTGAGATTAAGTACAAAGTTAAACATAATTTAGTCACTTAAATGTACATATATACATAAAATTCTAAATTTAATGCTAAACTACCCCTAATACAACATCATTTAATCTATTTCTAAATCTAATTTTCAATCAAAAAATAATTTAGATATTACAATTTTTTTTCCTACATAATATTATACAATAAAAATTTAAGGATTCAAATAAAATATAATAAAAATATATAAAATTTCCATTCATGACTAACCTGTCACCGGACAAAATAGATTGGCAGAGGACCATGAAATGGACTGACAGAGGACTGACAAAAGACAACCAATGAAAATAGACTGTAATATATAAGAGACAGAACTGCAATGTATAAAATTTCAAAACATGTAGAAATAATTCTTTTTTTACAAATAAAATTAAACTTATTTTTTTTTTCATAATGTTATGTTTACCTTTGATTTTCTCTAAATACATTGTAAAATTGGAAACTTGATCAGAAAAATTTCACAACCACAATGAAAATTTTTCTTGATGCTGGCGTTAATGGAGGGAGGGAAGGAGGAAGGAGAAGATAAAGCCGTTCGTAGCACCCGTTTCAATGAAGCCATGTGTCTAACTTCTATTAGTATCGCACCAACTTAGTCGATAGCCCTGTTGATTTTTCAGACTCGATACAACTATGATTTTAACATGTGTCCATCTTTTTCCCTAACTGTTGATTTCAAATGTTTATCGTCGCTCATGAGACGATATAAATTCTATTATGACATGTGGCTGCTATCGTATTTATAGGACCGATACTCATTTTATTATTATTTTTATTATTTATCTAATTCCACGTGTCAGCTTATAAAGTTGTATCGGACATTCTGGAATGATAGAGTATTTAAAAAATATTAAAAAAATTGTTATCGACCATGCAAGTACGAGACAGCTGCTGATTTAGCAAAAAATTAGTCCAAACAAAAAATATATTTTAAAATAAATTTATTTTAAAAATTTGTTTTATAAATAATATAAATTTGCCTGTATATCACAATGATAATAGAAAAAAACTTTGAAGTGACTAAAGCACGTTGAAGTTCAGGATAAAATTTCAGGCGTAAAATAGGAGGTTCAATTTCTGGATTATTAAAAAAAAAGCAACACGAAAACCATGAGCAAAAAGCTGAAACAGTAAAAGGACACATCCCGTGGATGAAATTTTGGGGAAGCAACCACAAAAGGAGACAAACAATTCTCACACTTTTTGTGTTTGTTTGGGAACCCATTAATTTGAAAGGAAAAATATATGAATAGAATGCCGAAAATCCCTCCCTCGGGAAAAGGCAGAAGAAAAGTACAAAAAGAGAAGGAAAAGTAAATGGCAAGTTACATAATTGATTTCTTGAGTCCGTAAGTATTGATCTTGGCTTGCCATCAGGGATCGAGTCGTCACCGCCGGTTTGAGTCATTGTGGGCTCTAATCGGATTATTTAACTTTTGCAAGTTTCTTTCTCTGTTAATTGACCTTCGCTTCTAAGGCCCCTCTAGTCATTGCAAATGGCCATAATGGAGCTTTTAAGAAAAATAATATAATATTTATAATAATTTATCCAATCTAATATGAATCTAAGACAGGTTTGGATACTTATAACCCATATATCGTAAAAATAACATGTGACACGTGTTATAACAATGCGCATGACAAATAAAATGTTGCTACATGATGAGACAGCAAATAGGCAGTGTTTAGTTTGAGTAAATTTTTAAATAAGTTTTTATAAAATAATTAATATAAAAAATAATTTTTTTGTATAAACTAAAAATAATTTATACTCTTTTTAATTTATGAAAAAAAGTTTATTTTACTACTTAATTTAAAATTTTTATATCTTATCTGCATCTAAAATGTACTTGGGCATTGTTATGGTGTGAGTGTTTTACAAGAATGCTTAATATGCGTGTACATTATCAACATTTGTCGATCGGATTCAATAGCTTGGCTTAAGATTAGGCTGACAAGGGTGTCATACGACGAAGGTGTGTTGCATATCATTCGATATAAATTTTCTATTAATTTAGTTTAATTGTTTTTCTAAATTTTTACACGTATTTTTATAAGAAATCATCCTAATGTTAAAACACCAAAAGTGTATATATTGAATTAAGTTGTTAAATCATGTTTATTGACTTTGAGAGAACCCAAATAAAAAAGAGAAACTCTATCAATGGAATGGGTGCCAAGAATTACAATAGCGGGTTGACACCATATCTCCACCCAAAATATCATATATAAGAACAAACTGGACGGTGGAAACTTCTTAATTATTTAGGATATGACTGACAGTGGAGTTCTCAGAGAAAAATAAATAAACATTTTATTTATAATATTGTATAATTTGATAAGTTCTTAAAATAAAAATAAAATGATAAATTAAGACAAATTTATTGTCTTAACTCTTCAGCTTTAATTTATTTATATAGACATTGTATAAGTAGATGTGTTGATCAAAAGTTCTTCCCATTGTATAAATTAGTATTTAATTCATTTTTGCGATCCTGTTAATCATGCAGATTGAGATTTGGTAATAGAATTGAATCTCATAAATAATACGCAAAAGGTCCGTTTCATACTAAAATTTATCCAAAGTATGTAACAGTGGTGATTATTCACAGACCTTATTTTAAATATTTTGTTACAAAATTACTTTATACTCGTTATTGGCCGTAGGCTCTTATATCATAACTCAAAAAGAAACTATCACCACAGTTACATACTTTGGAGAGAATGTGAGTGCGTGATATAAATTGAAAAAAGTTATCTCTAGCAATGAGAAACAATGATCATATGGATGAGAAATCATGACCAAACCATGTATGGTAATTTTATATCTAGCAAACTAGGAAGTAGATCATACATAGGAGAAATATGGCTGCACAAAATAGGTTCTGGCTTGCTATGCAGAGCCCAAAAATACCCGACATAGATTCAACAAAGGGCATCATTTGTTCAATGCGGATATGTTCTCAGAAGTCCTTCAAAAGGCAACAAAGGCCTCAATTGTAGCCTCTGATATATTTACACGAATATGGGCATGCAGCAAAGATTAATACAGGTAACTATTTTGCATCGCAAAGGCCTGTAGCATCATCACAGAAACCATCTCGGTCAAGCAATTTCTTCGGAGGGGCACTTAAAAGGGGAGATGATGGGGAGCCATAAGCATTTCGTCGTTTGTTCCCACAACCTAAGCTTACTCTTGTGCTTACTCCTGTTACAGGATTTATGCCACTTGCATACTTGCATAAAGCCTACACAATTTGATCAAACAGTATACAGCATCATTAGTCACTGGTTGGGTAAATGGTTATGCTCCAAAAAGGCATTTCAACTATGACGATACAAATTCGAAGTGGGAATACTTGATCCTGATCTGATGAGAAGGTCATGGGAGAGATATAAACTCAAATAGCAAAAGACACTACCTGCAAAAGTTGCATGACCCTATTTAAGATTTTTTCCTTTTACATCATCTTATTATAAGCACAAGGATTGATAAAAAACGATTTCTTGTTCTTATTATAAGATCCTAGTCGGATCTATACAAGAATGTATACTGTTTTGAGAACAGTAAAAAGAAGAAAAAAAAAAAGGAAAGTGATTAATTTGAATATGAAAGCATGCTTGGATTGGTCCTAAATAGGTTTTAGGGTGGAGTGGAAAAAGGGAGGATTCTTAAATTTGAAAGAGTTAAACCCGCATCCTATTCAGATGAGAGGATCCATTCCTTTTGTAGCAATCAATGGTAATACCTGCTTTTGGGGAAGGTCCAACACAGCATCACTAAAGTCAGCACCTTCGATGATGGCACCCCCAAGGTCACTCCGTGTGAGGACTGTTCTAAGGAGAATGGCATTAGTGAGATTGGCCTCATTTAGAACCTGTAGACCCCAGACAAGAAAATCATAGATAAACGAAATAAAAGGGGAAAATAATACCAAACTTATGGATAAAATTAATCAACTTGATGTACTTACCATGCGATCCATCAATGTATCACTTAAGTCGGCACCTAAAAAATGTCAAACGAAAATATTTAACAAAGTTAGAACCCCTAACTGTTGTAAATTACTACAAGTAACACAGGAAAGTTGCTGCAAATAAATTATTTCTTTATGTCTTTCACAGGAATATAGTGATGTAATTTTTGCTTAACTTATAGAATAAACACTCTTTCGCAGGTACAAGGCTAATCTTGACTTTCAAGTTTTAATCTGCCTTGGGTTCAATAGAATCTATTGGGTAAATGAATTACACAATTCGAGTAAACAGAGGGTCGACCAGAATATACCGGATGAATGTAGTAGACTTTTTCCCCCATATCCCAAGAAATATTAGTCAGAATTTTTTTCAAACATGTAGGAAAGACATGAGTAATTTAAATTTAACTTCTATATTGCAATAAGCTTATACCTGTAAAATTTGCTTTGTATGCAACAGCTTTCTCAAGGTATGCACCATTGAAAGTTGAACCGCTAAAATTAGATTCTCTCATATCAGCAGCTGTGAAATTGGCTCTTCTGTATCAGTCATTTAGAACGATCATGAATAGAGGAATCCGAATATCTACATTATTAGACTTCAAATAATTTGCTGTGAAGTGACAATTTAGAATAAATTGAACTTCCACTTTTCTACCATGCGTAAATGCTAGTGTGTGTCAGTACAGTCGATTGTATTAAGCGAAAATAAAAACCTTTCCCAATCGATTCTCCATTCTATTTCTATCATCTTATTTTTCACCTCCTCCCCACTAAGTATACTCTTAGATTCTTTTCTCCTCCTTTCGTTTTTTGTTATAATTTTAATCAAGTTAATAGGAAGGGAAACTTAAAAAAAAAATCATATCTAATTTTTTATAACACAAGGCCAAATCTTGACATTACCTAAAATTCTCATTCACATGCACTGCTTGCCTGCATAACAACAATAAACAAAAAAAAACAAAAAAAAGCGCCCCAAAATATGTTATTGATTTCCCATAACATAACCTGAAAGAGTTAGAATGAAAGAAACAAACCTGAGATCAGCAGAACCAAATTGAGCAGCTGATCCAATCCCAAATTCACCCCTCATTTCAGCCTCAAATTTGTTAAGATCAGCAAGGGCAGACATGTCAGAGCTGAAGGCAATGACCGCAGCTGCCAACGTGGCCGACACCACTTTCCCCCATTTCATCGATTCTTTTCGATGATTTGTGTTTGAGTTCATTTGGCAGACAATGGGAAAGGACTTGGAATGAGAATGAAATGTATTTGAAGTCTTGGAAGTTGAAGTTGAGCACACATGGAGGAAATTGACTGAGAGTGGTGACAGTGAATTAAGCGTCATCATCATAACGAGCAATAAGATATGATTGCTTGTCTACAAAGGAACGAGGACGGATAATCAAATTGGTGCGACCTCCTAGTTCAGCAATTCATCGTCCAAGTCGAGAAATGGAGTAGTGGTAAATAAAAGTACACGTGTTCAAGTGTTATCTGGTTTCTTGTAACGCCACCTGTGTCAAAGTTTCGTACTCGGGTCAAAACTACAAATGCCAACATATATATATATATATATATATATATATATATATATATATATATATATATATATATATAAGTTTATGAATTATCTCTAACTCAATAGATTAGTTTCTCGTATACTTAAGTGTGTAAAATTTTTTTCATGGGATTAACTTTGATGCAAAGTGAGTGCACTATTATTTAATCTTATGTTTTCTTTAGGATATTTTTTTAATCTTATGTTATTATTACGTGTAAAGAGTTTTTTCTTTGGTTAATTATTCCTTTAATAAGGTCAGGGTATGGTTTTTTGGGATTTGATAAGCGTTAGAAACACTCGTGTAATAATAATATTTTCAGGCGTATGAATTTTGAGATCAAAACCAATTTTATTTTAAACCACTTGGAAGTTCTTTTACTCACACTATTGTACGGTGTTTTATGTAAAATGTTTAATTATATTAATCTTTACATAAAATATTAAACTTGCTAAATCATATTAGATTACATTATCAAGTGTAAATGTAGAAGTTTCATATTAATAACACAAAAATTTTATCATTTTTAATTCAAAAGTCAAGTAAATATATTCTATTAAGTTTAATTTTTTTGACAATATGTTCTATAATATTTATGCTCCAAATTTTTGTCGCAAAAATGAAAGGGGAACGTACTAAAGGCCCACAACTACAAAATACCCAAAAGCCCATTTTTGTGGACAGTTGAATAAAGTAGGTTATAGACAAGGAATTTTGGCACCCTAAAAAATCAAGTATAGAAAATGTACTAAGTAAAAAATAACGAATTAAGTTTACAACAAAAAATTATTAATTTGTCTGTTAACTTTTTAATCAACAATTATTATTCTCTATTTTATTTTTTTTAAGTACATCTAACATTTTAGAACAGTCAAATTTGTGTACAAAATAAACATGGTGGCAATAACATTAGCAGCCACCTCTTGGCCCTCTCCCACGTTCTCAAGTAGTAAACTAACGATAAATTGATAGTACACATGGCATGATCCACGGATTTGGGACCAAACCAACCTCTTAATGTTGTCGTTTGTTAACGCGGAAATTGGAAAGTGATTCGTCTCTTTAGAGCACTAATGAAGAAAATAATAACTAAAAACATTTCATTAAAAATTGTATACTAAAATTTTAACTTTTTTATATTTATTTTTAAAATTAGTACTATGAATACTAAATTTGTTTAGTCAATAATATATTCTTTAATATTTGTTTTTAGATTTAACTTTCTAACAATCATAAGATGGATGAAAGAAAAAGTGAATACCTATTTAATTTTAATTTAAATAAAATTATTTTATAGATTTAAATTAATTTAAATTAATATTAGATATATTTTCACTGTGTATTTCTTCGCTAAGAATTATATCCTTCTTTTTAAAATAAGAGAGAAGAGAGTAACTAGAAGCATGTTTAATTTTTATTTTAAAAATAAAATATAATACAAATTTATATTACATTTTATTTTTAAAAATAGAAAAATATTTTTAAACTATAAATCAAATATATTCTAAGTATCTCTAATATGGTTGATTATTTATAATTTAAGTAAAGTTCCATGGAGTAGTCCTTCTGGGTCTCTTTTTATTTAGAAAAATCATTGTATATTGAAATTAAGATAATTAAAATCTGACATGATTATTATTGATTAATGAGATATAAATATACTTACAAAAAAATGCAATTAAAATTTTTGTTAATATTAAAATTATTTTTAACTTTTTAATATAATCACCACTAATATTCATTTTTCATTTATAATAAGTGTATATAATATTTAAAAAGTTTAGATAGAAATAAATTCATAATTAAATAATAATTAATATTATTGCTAACTTATAAATAGATAGATATACTAAAAAAATATTTTTTAAAAATATGGAATCTATAAAAAAAACTAAAAGTAAATAGAAAATGTTAACCTTCTTTTGAACACGTGTTTAAAAATTTAAAATGAATATTATTTATTAAAAAGTAATCAATATATTTTTTATCATAATTTTTAATTCACTCTTAACATGATTTTTAATTAAAAAAATTATTTATTATTAATTAACGTAATAATTAGCATGACCCTTTTTAAATAAACAATAATGATGTGTAACATTATTGTTATAGAAATGGAGAAGCATAATTGCTATCATCATCATCATCGCAAATATGATTTACAAGCTGAGGCAGATGTAGCAGGAAAGTTAATGGCGCTCACCCAGGAGCGACCCTTTTACAACAAAGGCTACTCAAAAAGGATTTGGACAAAAAGTGAGGGAGCAGTGGATTTTGTTGAATAACCCTCACTTTGGTGATTCCTGTTCCTGAACTTTATGTGGGTGGAAGAGAAGGGTATGTGAATGCCCATCCAACATCTTTTACTGTGTAATTGTTACACTCACTTGCAAGTCCCTTTTAATTTAATCCCTCTGGTCACGGTGGAATGGCCGTATGAACGCTGAATTCATCTGCCAAACCTTAATTGAGGCAATCACAGAGGCCTCAGTAGCATTATTGAACAAAAACAAGCGTGCAGCTCCGTAGATTGCTCTTGTTGGATAAACCCGGGATGTCACGCACGTCCTTCCACCTTGACCATAACTTTCTACTACAGAATGGTCAACCTAACACATTTCATAAAAAATCAAACTTTATTACGTATAATAATAATAATACTTTGAGCGAGAAAAGTATAGATAATTGCTAGAATTAACTTACCAATATCCTTACAGACAGCTTTTCATCCTTGAGTACTGGAACAGAGCTTCCAAAGATTTTCTTATCAACATCATTTGCCAGAGAAGACCTACCAAAAAGATGTAATGAATTCAACATTGTATTTTATGTTAAATAACACTTGTTCAAGTTCAAAACAAAATACTAGTGTAAAGTAATTAATACCTTGATTGATCAGAGCACAAGGAAGTCTTAAGATGCCCATCACTTCCTTTAACAACATAAAAGTATACGGGAGTGTATTCAGAAAGGCCATCATCTGCCAGAACCAGAAGACCAAAAGGTCCTAAGGCACCCCGTGCAGCTGCTCCTCCACTGCTGCCACACTTGTACTCCACATTCGACTCAGCTGTTTTCTCCAAGCTTTCTTTATCTATATCAAACTCAGCTACAATGTCCAACTGTTCCATTCGCAGGTCGTATTCAATATCATGTCACTTAATTATATAACTTTATGGTCTCCTATAAGAAAATTAACATGGGCACAAACCTGTGTAGCTGTTCCTACATCTAGTGGTACCACTGACCCTGGCTTTGTCTTCAAGTGTTCAAACTCATCGCTTCTCAATCTCAAACTCTCCACCTCCTCAACAGGCCATTGGAGTAAGTTGCTACCAGTTTTCTTATCAAGCATCACTGTTCTTGGAATACCCTATAGTGTACAATTAAAATATAACCGTTATTGCTAGCTAGCCAATAAAGTGGTAGTTAAAAACGCACAAAAAACGGGTAACCGTAGCATTAAGATACCTGAACAGATGCCCAACCTTTGGCCACATCAGCATATTCACTATCAGACTCTCCAATCCAACCCCACAACACTCTCCTCCCTTTACTCTGATCATAAAATGTCTTGGAAGCATAGAATATACCATAGTCATACCTCAGTCCAATACCAACATCGTTCTTCGAGTCATCTGGTGTGAACTTAACACTCTTCTCATCATAACTCCCCAATGCATAGTAATCATGTCTATCATCATCCAAGCTAACCTTCACCACATGCTTCACATCAGCCCCATTAACGGAAGTATCCAAGCCATTTTCAGCCTTGCTTGACACAGGGAAAAAGTCAACACACTCCCACATGCCAGTGGAAGGCACAGCATGAAGCAGTCCCTCTACGCGCTCGAAGGTTTTGAAGTCAAGGGTGTCATAAACCAAGGCAATGCCAGTTTTGTTAAGCTTAGAGCCAATGGAAATGCGCCACTTTCCTTCAGAGGTGAGCCAAGCGGTGGTGGGGTCACGAAAATCCTTGGTTCCAATGCCTGGTGGTGGGAACAGGACAGGGTTTGAAGGGTATTTGATCCAATCAATGAGGAGAGGATCAGATGGGTCGGCGGGGTATGCAAGGTTTTGCACCTGCACAGAGTCGTTGGTGGAACCAGTGTATAACATGATGATTTGACCATCGGGCAAGATGGTGGCAGAGCCAGTCCACACACCGTTTTTGTCGTACCATTGATCAGCCACCATTGCTAGTGGAAGGTGAAGCCAGTGGATTAAGTCCCTTGACACTGCGTGTCCCCAAACTATGTCTCCCCAGACTGCACCTTCCGGATTGTACTGGTAGAAGAAGTGATACCACCCTTGGTAGTACATTGGACCTGAATCAAATTCATACAAAAATTGCTCAAAACTATGAAGCCAATATTTCAAAGCAGCAAAAGTATCTATGTATTTAGATACTTATCTCAAAAGTATTTATAATTTAATTTATTTTAAAAAATTAATTTCTAACCTAATACTACTGAAACATTACTCTAGATAGAATTAAATAGTATAAAGATAAAAAAAAGTTTTTAATAATTTTATATTTTTTAAATAAAACTACTAATTCTTTTATGAAATTTTAATTTAAATAAAAAATAAAATATATAATTTTTTTATGTGTTTATACTAGAAAAAATATTTTGACTTAATTACTTAGAAAAAAAATAATTTCATATATTTTTTTTATAAAATATGATTATTGATATTTAAATATAACATATTAATATAAATAAATCATTAATATTTTTTTATAAATATTTTGTATATGTATATTTTTTTAAATTCATATTAACGTATTTAAACTGTTTCGGATCTTAAATTATTATTTTTTTATTTCTGTATTTGTGTTGCACTAAGCATCTAGGCTTCGTAGCTTCTGAGTGTAGGATATAACGATATAAAGAACAAGAAAAGACTTGAAAAATGAAAGGCGGTTATGTAAAATCAGTTGGAAATCTTACCATTAGGATCTGAAGCAGAGCAAGCCAAGATTCCCCGTCAGAACAAGCCAAAATCACCCGACAAGGAGGAGAAGAAATTAGTGTCACAAACAGTCAACATTAATAACTTTTTTTTTTTAATTTCAATTGAAAGAGTAATTTTAAGAAGGGATTTCTGCAGTGATAGCTGATTCTGATTTAACCATGGTTTCAACTTTAATTTCCTAATTAAAGCTGGAAAAACTACTTTTATCTTTTTTAAATATTTTACTATCTCGTGCTGCTATAAAGTTATTTGATTGTCGTCTATATTTTTAAAAACAAATTAAGTTTAAAAATAAGTGCACAGTAACATAGCTTAATTTTAATATTTTTTTAATCACTATTTGTTCTTTCCCTTTTTCTTGTTTTTTAATAATGTCCTCCTTCTCCGGGCCATGATGCTTGGAAACGCATATCCAATTTAATGTGACTAGGGAAACATTTCACCAACAGAATCTCCAATGCTAAACATTTCAAAAATCCATTATTCTTCCCAAACATTTTGGATAATAACGTGAGGGCTTAATTTAATGCTGGAGTTAATTTTGACCACGTCATTGACTGAGGCAAATTATGTGAAATGAATTACGTACCGTTCATCCAATTCTTCTCGGGCTGAAAATGGAAAGCTGTTCTTTGCCATGAAAGCATGCTATTGTTCCAAGAATATAATCCTCCATTCCCATTGTTGCTGCTGAATAACCGATTAGACTTCTCAGAGACCCCTGCAGACACGCCACGTGAAATAGGTTGCCAAGTTGACCAAGGCACTGTTTTGGGGGGCAATTCTAATTCATTGAAAGTTAACGTTGGCAATGACACTTCTCCGTGTTCATTTGAATATGCCCTGTAGCCATTAAAGGCCACCAAGGACACAACAACTACTAGCAACCCACAAAAGATCACATTCACAAGCACCTCCTTCAGCTGTTTACGAGGTTCATCAGGAGAGTGGGGTCCATCGGGTACAGGAACATAAGAACAAGGAAGATCGGAGGAGGGAGCAATTGTGCCCATTGGTGAAACCAAACGAGGAATGTTCAACAATTCACACAATGAAAAGTTTTGACACACAAAAAGAATAAAAGGGGGCGGAATGGATTGGCCAAACGACACAGAAAAGTGCACAGATTTGTAAACTGAATCAGACAACTGTGAGATGCATTTTACCACATGACCATATTTATAGGGTTGCTCTTGGTGGCATGGACCAGCACGTCACATGAACTGTTCACTTACCATAATACTACGGTTTATTTTAACTAATAATTGAGGTTGGTGGCCCTGTGTTTTTTTATTCCCAATCATTTCTGACTCGTTCATTGTTTTCCTAACCAATTCATTTTTCTTTTGGGTCTGCATTCTGTAACTAGTTGATTGGCCTGCAAATCGGCTCTCAATTTTATAAATTAATTTAAGGGTATCATTAGAGAGAGAAAATATTGTTTTTGTATAATTATAAGAAGGGTTAGTTAATCTCAACCTTTAAGATTAAGCTTAAGTAAAGATAAAAAATTTGTATAAAAAAGGTATACAGTTGAAATTATAAAAATATAATAAATATTTTTTTCTTTTAAAATTTTATTATTATTAATTATTATTTTCAGCTCTAAAAGGTAAGGCTAACAAAATCTTTATAAAAATATTATTTTAATGTGTTTAATAACATTAAAAAAATAAAAATTATAATATATTTTTTATAAAAATTTATTATATATATCTTTTTATTTCTTAAACATGATTAATTGTTTATAATAAAAATATCATATTGTTTTATTTATAAATATTTGTAATATTATTTTATAACTTTTTCACATTAAAATTAAAAAAAAATCTTTTTAATCAAGCCAACTCTAAAATTCTTCATCATTACATTGGATTTATGTATTTTTTTTTCATTTTATTAAAATCATAATAATATATCCACATGCTTACATGTTCTTCATGTATTATCTTTTCACCACCTTATTAGATGACACAAGTGAGAAATTAATCACTTACAAGTTATAGCTTTCTTCTTATAGCTTATCAACATTTGTTTATCCCTTCTTTTTTTTTTTTTTCATTCCGGCCTTCGGTTTCAAGTTTTTGGTACCATTTTTCATCCAATATCACATATACGTATTGTTATTTAGGTATTTTTTTATGTTTTTTTAATTAAAAATTAAATTGTATTTTGATAAATAAAAAATAAACATTTAATATTATCATAAATTATCAATATAAAATTTTAATTAATAAATAATACCAAATATATATAGAAAAAAAATGTATATATACATACAATTAAATCATATTATGGTCATTATTTGTATTTGAAACCATGCATGACAAATATTGAAATCATATTATGGTCATCATTTGTATTTGAAAACATGCATGACAAATATTGAATCAGATAGAATAGTGTTATTATTATTATTATGTATAATTGTATTTAGGAATAAAAATAGAAGACTAGACTTTATATAAATATGTCTGACCTATTTAATAATTTTTAAGTTTAAATCTAGCCTATTAGACTTTGTATTAAATTTAGTATAATCTTTTTAAAAGTTTATTTTGGTTTATTAACTTTTTTAATGGCTTACTTATTAAGTCCTTCAAATAAAAAATTATTTTATTACTATCAATTGGAGAAGATATTTTTGTTAACTTAAAAAAATAGTAAAAAAATTATATATAATATAAATAAGTACGTAAAAAAACGATAGATAGGATAAATCAGTAATAGACATAATCCACACAATATAAATGTAAATTGCCGTTATACATATAAAATAAATCAAATAACAATAACACAAAAATTCTTAACAAACATACTAAGGAGGAACTGGATACATGAGTTCTAGGGTAGGGCAGGGTATGGAGTCACTAGTTTTCACTTTACATGTTGCTTTCTTAGTGGGAGTTTTCCTGCCGGCTAAGGCCCCAAGACCACCAGCAAGGGGAGCGAGCTACTAAATCCTGCCCGACATCATCAGTACTTAGCACCCAATTGTGACCTTTTTTAGGCTTATCAATTGGTGTCTCGTGTGGTATTCACCTTATACATTTGGGTTCAGTCATTTTGCCCCTTTAAGACTGAATATGTAGTAGAGACATTTTTTAACTTTAACAAAAAGTATTAAAATTTTTAATTTAAAATTTATTTTTTTAAAATTTAATTTATTTAATATAATATAATAATAAATTTTATATAAAATTATTTAATATATTATTATAAATTTTATGAGTTTTAAATAGGTCATTCTAATAAATTTAACAAGTTTTTTTTTTTAAATTTAAACTTTATTTATTTAATTAATTAAGCCTAAATCAAATTTGTTACTAAAATAAATCAAGTTGAGTTACACTTTAAAAAAATTAAGTTGTAGACTATGTCAGACAGTTTAATTTATTTCTATTTCTAATTATATTTTTTTAACTTTAAGTGATGCGGTTAATAACAAGTTGTTACACATAAAAATAATATATATATATATATATATATAGTAAATTTAGAATTAACATATAACAAATTATAACAAATGACTGTTTTCTTAAATAATAAATGAGTCATTATAGGGATTCTGAAATGTTATAATTTTTATAATTATTATGATATTTCAATTTGTAGTAGTATAAGAATTTAAAAGTAAAAGTTAAAAATAATACAGTTAAAAGTATTTATAACCTTTACGTGTGATTTCGAACGCGAATACATATATAATAACATCAATCCAATACACAGTTATCATTAAAAAGTTTTTTTTTATGACAAACGCTGAATTGATTAAAGAATAAAAATTAAATATTTTTATTAAAAATGTTACTAATAATATTTATTGATTAATTCCCTTAATATTTAGATTTATAAGTGTATTAATACCTATAATATTTTTTTCAAAAATAAAATATGAATATAATTTCCAAAAGAAAACGAAGGAGGGTACGCCCTTTAGAAGTTAAGAACGTTAAATCAAAGACGGAAAGTAAATAATAATGGGGTACCAATTACACTGATCATGGTAACGCGTACCAATAATATTAAAAAGGTGATAATTAATAATTGTGCAAATAAAGGCCAAAGAACAAGAACAATAGACATAAGAATCACTAACCTTTCTTATGGTCCACACGTAACCTAAATTCTCCGCACCAATAAAACAAGATCCTGAAAAAACAGAGAACGTACGATTCAACGATTCAACGATTCAACGATTCAACGAAGGAACTAAGAAGTAGGAGATTTGGCGATGACTCATCAAAGATATGAAGACGCCACGGAGGCATATGAAGAGTCTAGAAGCTTAACATGTACCGAGGAATCCAAATTGTAAACAAAATGTGTCTATCTTACGTGTATTTTTAAGTCCATCTATTAATTATTTGATTGGAATATACATTAGCTTTAGCTAAACAATCACAACGATGGTCAATAATACTTAATTAGCGGTTATTTGATTCAATATGATTCCAAACCCAAGTTCAACTGCAACATTAATCATAGCCTGCTTCAGGAATGAGTTTTCCCATACGATTGTTTTTGACGTAGAAATTGCTGAGTCATACGATGATGTTGCTCATTCTTCTCAGTCACTTTTCAATTGCATATAATAATGCATTTTCCAAGACAGATTGCGGTGGCTTTTGTATTGACCATATATTGATGTGTTAATTTGATACCACATGTGAAGGATGAGTAGGCATATACTCATTGGCTGCTTTCACAGGGGATGAGGTGCGAGAGTTTCTCTTTCCCTATTACCAGTTTTGTGAGGCTGGTAATGTTTTGGCTCCACCTCTCCCCCAATAATGTTTCATTATTGAGAATGAAACAGAACTAATCAAACATGTTGCAGAATATACCTAAGCCGAATCTTAAACATTGCTTTCGTTGTCTTCAGCATTATTGTAGGTGAGTTTGTGTTTGTGTTTGTGTTTGTGTTTTCTTTCTTTTTCCTCTCTTCATGGAAAAGGGTATGCTATAGGGTGTATTATATAAATATTATTAAATTAAAATATTTTAAATAAAATTTTAAAACATATGTTAAACATACTTATAAATGATAAATATTTTATGATATTAAATAGAATTACTAAGAGATAAAGTTTAAAATTTTTAAAAAATAAAGTAAAATAATTAAAACTGAATTAAAATAATTTAAATATTCAGAAGTAACATAATACAGTGAAGGAAAAAATAATAATCTCATTTGATAATAAAAACTCATAATATATATATATATATAATATGCTAAAAAAAATTTAAATTTTTTAAAAAATTATACACACAAGAACAGCATATGATGACTTCAATTATCTAATTTAATAAAATATTTATAATATTTTTATCAAAAAAATAATTAATTAAACCAATGTATTTAAAATTCTCATAAAATAAATTGAATTTATAAATTTTTATATAATTTAAAAATTAATTGATATAACTTTACAGTCTTACTTTATTTTAAATAATAATTATTAAATTATATGTTATAAAAATGTTTGAATTATGTAATCTTTTATATACATAATTAATAATTACGATATCATCATATAAATCAATAATTAAATTTAAAAGCTTCATTTTAAATAAAAATTATTCATTGCACTTTTAAATCTTGATCAATCACTGAAAAATGCTCTTTTGACATTCTTAAAATCAGATTTGGGATATGTAAAAGAAGAAATATATAAGAAAAAATAGAAAAAGCTTTAAAAATATAAATAAAGAATAATGTAATAAAAAATAATGGATATAAAACTATTAGAATAATACTAACAACACACTCTTTAATACATTTTTTGCAACACATATTTTATTATTAGCTAATTTTATTAAAATTTATAAAAATGATATAAATAAATTTTTTCACTTTTAAATTAAGATTTTTTTGTATATTTTTAATTTTTTTATAAATTTTAACAATAATAAAGTGTCATGAAGGTAGGTATCATTCCTCAAAACTATTATTACTCTTAATGGCAACCGGGAAATTAGAATGATCTGTCTTTCCTACCTAATTTTAGCATGTTTCATATGCACCGCCGTGCGCTATTGCAAATTCCACGTGCCTATGCTTCCGCCAGTAGCTAGATGAGTCGGATGATAAATTAGCAGAGATTATAATTATAATTATAATATAACTTGTCCTATTTGTTTTT